GCGGGTTGTTATTAAACATCACCACTGAGATTGGGAAGAAGAAGCAAGGGATCCCCATCTCCCACCAGCTTGTTTCCCCCTCCCTGCTTGCTGCTTCCTGAAGCACTTTCCTTTCTATCTGTCCCAGCTGGTGTGTGGTACCACTTGCAGAATGCACGTCTGGTTATCTGTGATGTGCAAGTGAATTTCCCTCTGCAAACACAATAGTCCATTTGCACGTTCATTGGACACTCCTGAAAATAGTTCTCTAAAAATACCAGTGCATCGTAATATATCTTGGGGAGTGTGACGAGGATAACATTTACTGCTTCAGTACTGAAGATGCAACTGGGGACTTCAGTGGTTGTAACACTCAGTGTGTGCAAGAAACTATGATGTCAAAAATGGAAAAGGTTTTCATATTGCTTAAGAAGACATGGGTTTTATACAATCCCAGCCTGGTCTGGGTTGGAAGGGACCTCAAAGCTCCTCCAGCTCCAACCCCTGCCACGGGCAGGGACCCCTTCCACTGGAGCAGCTTGCTCCAAGCCCCTGTGTCCAACCTGGCCTTGAACACTGCCAGGGATGGGGCAGCCACAGCTTCTCTGGGCACCCTGTGCCAGCGCCTCAGCACCCTCACAGGGAGCAGCTGATGAAGATCAACTGATCTTTTATCCTCAGTCAAGGGAATAATTCATCGGCTCATCTTGTTACTTTAGAAATCATAATTGAAAAGGTCTTTGTTCTACAAGCACAAATCTTGGCTGTTCAGAGTTGTGGCTATTTAGAATGCATTGAATTTACACAACTTGAAAAATAATTATAGATTTGGGGCCAAAAGTATCTCACCCAACTTTAGTGCATGATGCAATGTTTTTTGATATACTAGGCATATTTCTAATGAGTTTCTGAACTAAACCAAGATTCACAAAGAAGTGCAGTAACCCAAACTGAGGTTGGAACTGAATGGTTTTTACTGTCCCTTCCAAGCCAAACCATTCTATCCATCTGTGAGAATGTGAGTGCTGCCTACATTCAGAATAATAGCTCCTCTGGGTACACATGCTGTTTTGATACTGCTGAGAAGCTCCACATCCACCTCATGCCTTGATGCCCCTGCAGACCTCTGCTTAGGTATGCATGGGCTGGGTAGGGGGTATATGGGCCAGGAGGCCAGAAAGACCTCTCCACTGCATGACTGGGTCTGAAGAAGAGACAATAAAATAACAGCAGAAAGTTAAATTTAGTCCCTACACTGGGCAGGGAAGGTTTGGGCTAGGATGGAAGACAAGTGTGAGAAGATTTACCAGCGATCCAAGGCTTCATTGCTGCCATGGGGGCATATTTAGGGGCAACCATGGCAAAAAGCCTATAGAGGGTCTGAAGTGATCCCAAGCAGGTCACAGCAGCGCTATTTCAAATCTGCTCCTTGGTTTGTTGTGTGGAATAGTATTGTACTGTACCCATTAGTTGTGAAAGCCATTTACACCTGGTTTGCTGCATTCAGGTCAATGCCATTGCAAAAGGAAGAATACACCCAGACCAGAAAACAATTTGGATAGACCCTGCTGTCTTTGATTTATTGTTTTAATTAAAAGCTTTTTAAGCTTTAATTAAAAAGGTACATGAGCATTCAGTATTCAAGAAAAATGCCTTTGTGTTTAGGTCAATTGAATAACGTAAAATATAATGAGATACATATTTCTCATCTGGAGCTTCACATGAAGAAAAGCAATATACATAATTAAAAAGTAAACTCAAACTGATAGAAGGGAGCTGTTGTCAGGAAAAATAAAAGGTATACTTTAAATTACACCAGGAGAGAGGAGGGGTTTTTATTGCCTCACTGTAGCATCCCTTAAAAGTCCTGTGGTACAAATTGACTGGACTTCATGGGTGTGTATCAAAGACACTGTGCTAAACTGAGCAATGGGTTATTATTTCTAACCCTAATGGTGCTTAACAGAGACCAGAGAGTATAAGCTGGGAGGTGACAAGTGTAGCACAGGAGCTGGGAAGCGTTCTGCATTGGAAACCACCTGAAGTTACTCACATCCCTCGTCAGTACCACCACTGTGGGGTGTGTGTGTCCCAGTTTCTCCCTGGGAGCTGGCTTATCTGATGTCCTGTTTTCCAGTTGGTCCCATTCCCACTGACCATGTGTCCCCCTGCACCATGGTCTCAGAGGAGAGCTAGTGCAGGGAAGATGCTGTGTGATGTCCACCATGGCAGTGCTATGGCCTCACAGTGTGTCCACCTCACCCGTTAACTTCACACGGTGAAGCAAGGCAAGAGCTGGCCCCAGGTATCCACAGCAGCCAAGCCCTCAGTGTTGGGAACTGTCTGGGGACTGAAATGAAGTCTGAATGCAGACAGTGGGTGTAATGAAACAATGCCAAGGCGATCATTTTACAAAGAAATTCCGTTTCACTCTATGTGCAACTCATATTCCAGACATCTAAGAAGCGAAGTAGGTGTATTTTGGCCTATATTCCTGCTAAAGGCTCAGAGAGAATAGAATAAAGCATCTCTGAGCTCTTTGAAAGATATTCAGGTATTTGTGCTACCTGAATGCTTTCTTTCTGCTCAAGCTTCTCCTAAAACATCTGCTTTCTTGCAGAGCTGGTGCTTTCAGGATCAATGCCTGGGAGAGGGGCAACATCTGCATCTGCCCCTGAGAGCTCAGCACCCACTGGGGACAAAACCTGACCCACTCAGCAGTCCCTGTGCTTGCTGAGCAGCTGAAGCAGCCACACACAGTGATGCTGGTTCAGGTTGCTCCCACTTGAATCCAGAGATGCTCCTTGCCCACCTTGTCCCAGGGAAGACAGCTCCGTGCTGGATACCGCTGGCTGAAGGGCAGGGTTTGCTTCTGCTGCATTCTCTGTGGCACCTCTGTGCAGAAACCTGCGTGCTTCAAAACAAGATGTAAAAACTCCTTTAAATGAAGCAAAATGTCCCGGTTGGATCACTTTGAATTTGCTTCACTTCCTTTGTAGTTCAATGTTCTTACCAAGGCACTCAGCCTGGCTGCCTGGGGAGGCGAGGCACCAAAAGCACTTGTATGAGCACTTTGAAGGCTGCAGCTATTGAATTGCTGGTCCTCACTTCAAAACTTGCCAAGGTCCACAGGAAGGAATATTTCTTCACTCTAAAGCATCGCATTGCCTGGGTAGGAGAGATGGAGCTTTTTTCACTGTTAAAGCCCTCTCCACACAGGGAGCCTGACCTGCTCTGATGCTGCAGGACATGGTGAGCGCAGCATCTCCTCAACACCCATTCCGTACCCACACGTCACTGCCCACATCAGTGCTGGGAGGGAAGGATGTTACCTGAGCCCCTGGGGACCGATGCTGTGTGATACATCTTGCTTTTCATGCTCTAGATCAAATATAAGACATTAAGGGTAAAACAGAAACCCCAGCAAACAGCTGGATAATGGCTTTGTTGCTCAAATCACATTTGTGATAAGTGATGGAAGATATACACCACCGGCTTGCTTTCTTAACAGAAACATAATATTTCCATAACTAAGCCCAAAGAATGCAAAACAAGATTATATTTTCCATTTTTTTGTTTGCAGTAGAGCTCAAATGTTGGAGAAATGGGGGGACTTCACTTGTGAAGCCAGAAGGAGACATAAAGTCTGCATCAGTCTCTAATTCTTGTCTTGTTTATCCCCATTCTTTCATACCCATCATGAAGCTGCAGTTTCTATGGATTCAGAGAGGACAAGCTTTGCAGTAAAGATGTAGATGCAGTAAATAGAAACCGGTATTCAAATTGATTTGATCTTTACTGAAGTCAACATTACATAATTCTATAAAGGAATTTAGCAATTTTTAAAGAACAAAATATTTTGGCACCTTTTCAAAAACTATGAAAATTTAAGGAAAAAGAAATATATTTGCATTTTAAAGCTTTAAAATTGTGTAATTGTTGTTTTTTTTTACTTTGTGAAGCTGCTGATAAACCATGAGTAGATTTTTCTGTCCCTATGGCGTTAGTGTCTCAAGGTTCCTATGGCCACGGAGATTGTGAAGTTAGTTTGTACGTTTTAGAGGTTAGAGGAAACTCTGAGTGAACATTATTCTCTAAACTCCCTTCATTTGTTATTGCCTTCTCTTAAACCGTTTTGTTTTCATCAGTGCATCGTTGTGTGTCAGTGCTGTAAACAGTAAATAAAAGTGTTAAATGAAGCTTATGAGGATTTGCTTTAGCAGATTTTGGCTTCAGAATCTGATTCTAACTTGATTTGAATCAGCACACAGATGTTTCCTGTGTTGCAGGTAAAATGCAGGGATTCCATCCCAAAAGATGTTTTCTACACAGACCTCCTCATGCCAAGGTCACTGCAAGGGGGATGCTTCAGACAACAGAACACCTTTATTTTCTGTAGTTCTTGTTTTCCCTTTTATGCTATGAACAGCAGAAGTACAGAGCATAGAGCAGCACAGCTCGTCTTTCTACATTTAATTGAAGGGGCAAAATCCTTTCCTGATTTCCTCCCTGTGCTTTTGTTTAATGGGAAAATCCCTGCTTCAATAACCAAGTTCTGCCTCCACAATTTCTTTCACCGACTCCTGCAGCAAAATAACCTGAGGCTCAGTGACTGCGCCAGTTTGTTAGTGACACCTGGGAATATTAAGTGGATCCAGGAAAACCCAGCTGGAGTAAATACAGAATTGAGGTCTGTGAATAGTAAGTGGATGCAGGAAGATCCAGCTGGAGTAAATGCAGAATTAAGGTCACTGTTTAAAAGGAGTGGAGCAAGCTCATCCTTACACTAGGAAGGTGATCTTTGTAGGGGTAGTGATCTGTGTATGGGGCCTTCTTCCTAACCAGGCTTTGCAAAGGAGTGCTGTCCTTAAGGAAGATGTTCTTGCTTCTCATGAGCTTGTTGCCCTGTGCACAGCTCTGCTGAATGAAGAAGGTGCTGTATGGGGCCTTACAGATGGAGAAGACCTTGGTCTTTAGCTGGTGTGTATTGTTTAGACTGCTGTGGTCTGTGCTGGGTGATCCAAGGAGCAGCTTGGAGGGATGGGTAAGTCTCTATGCATCAAAAAGCCCTGTCTGACAGAGGAAAGTATTCAGAGATGTGTGTGAGCCAGCAACTGTTTTGTGAACAAAAGCCTTGAAGACCTTTCAGAAAGCTGCTCTGTGACTTGGATGCACAGGGTAGGAAGAGGCTGTAGCTGAGGGAGACGTGACCTTGCTGTGAGAGTGCCTGTGACTATCAGCTTGATCTGGGCTGCAGCAGCTGTACTTCACCCATGCCAGGGGGTGTTTACAGCATTTGTACAGGTTGGGAGAAAGGCATGGGATGTGGAAAAGGGGGAAAACAGCACTGAGTTATGTGCTGCACAAGGAAAAAGCCTGCTGAGGCTGTTTGACTGGAGAGCTGCAAACAGTGAGACAGCGCTGTTGATTCAGACTGTGCTTCAAACAAGGGTAGTGTCTTCCAGAGGCACACAGGATGGCAGAGGAGGGTGAAGGATGTCTCCTGCCACCCTGAGCACATGCCCAGGCCACTGAAATCATTGCTCTCAACTTATATTTACTTATTTGTAGCTTTTCCCTCCCCTTCCATATGTCAGACCTCCTTTTATGCCCGAGTGGAGTAATTTCCATGTTGAATATCTGCCTGTTTTATTAGACAGTGGCCAAGTTAACAGCTCTTCATTTTACTGTTAATTGGTGTTTGCCCAGATACTCCAAAGTGAGCCTGCAAAGCTACACAATAAAAGAAAAATCCCCAATTAGAAATGTTCATTTCTTAACTGTTTTAAAATCAAAGCAGTTTTTCTTCTATTCATTAATGTGCCTTCATGCAAGCAAAGTGGGGTTCTGGGAAGGCTGTGCAGGGGAAAGCTTCAGAGGTCCCTATGGCTCCTTTGCATAGCTTATTCTAGCCGTTGTGCACATTGTTCCTCACCACATTACTCAAGCACAAGGGTATTGACTGCTCCTGCTGTTTATGTTGCCATTTATTAGCTTATGGCTATGTTGAAGTCATTGCCCACCCCTTGTACTCCCTGAGAGCGTTCTAGCAAATGCTTGATGCTCTGGATGGGCAGAAACCTCTTTCCTTCCTTTGTGATTGACCAAGGAGGTCACTGTAACCTTTCTGCTTAAGAGCACTGCGCTTGTTATGCAGTTCACTTCTGTCAGGCAAACTTCTTAGGTCCATGTTTTCTTGCTTATGTTTCTGTAAATTTAAGGTGACTGGATAGGCTCAACAATCCATTCCTGTTTAGGGGAAAGTCAACTTGATTTTCGTCCCCTTACAAAATGCCTGGGTCTCCAAGGCACACAAGAAAGGCCATGTACGCCTTGTATAGCTGGAGCTGATGCTTCTGAGTTTTTATTTAGCACTACAGTGCTCTAAAAATACTATTCACTAATCACAGACTGGTTTGGGTTGGAAGGGACCTTCAAGATGACCCAGTTCCCACCCTTGCCAGGGGCAGGGACACCTTTCACTAGGTGCAGCTTGCTCCAAGCCCTGTTCAACCTGCATAAACCCCCAGCAGGCACTTCTACCCCGCTCTGTTTTCTTTCTTTACCTAGCTATTATTAGAAATGAATGTTTCTAGGATTTTTACAGTATGTGCTGCAGTCTTGTCCAAGATCACATTGGTGCCCTGTGAACGGTTTGTGTGGTTTATGGTTTTTGTTAGTGAGTATATCCCCTTTCCTTGTCAATCTTATCGAGCTCTTACCTATCTCTTACCCTTTTGCCTTTTTCCCCTGTAGCCTGCTCAAGCTGTTCTTATTTAGCTGATGACTAAATAACACTTGGTCTGTTGTGGCATGATGCTTCCAGTCTGCATGCTCATCAGTTCTGATACATGGGAGAAACAAGTTATGAGGCTACTATAGACTGGCTAGTTTTTTTTTGGTGGAAGAGGGTTAAGAAGTGGCATCTCTGTAGTATTTGCTTACTGGTTTTCCTTTCTATAGTCAAGTTTTAACATAACGAAACCATAAATAGATGCCTAATCATTCTGAAGGCTGCTGGAAATATGGTGCATGGTGAGGTGGAAAAGATGGAGCACAATGAAATGTTGATAATGTGAGTGCATTTCCAGTTATTGAAGTTTTACACAAGAAAACACTATTTGATATGCACAGAGCATATGGTAATGTTATGGATTTATTTCAAAGGTCCCTCCCAGTCTGAACAACAAATCTACAATAAATGTATTTTGATTGAGTTCTATCACTCAGATCATACAAGGACATTAATATTAAACTTTAATGTATTGATTAGAGTGACCTAGAAAACTACCAGAGTAAACGAAGTCACACAGTGGTGAATCTGTGAGCTCCAAGTGCTTCAATTAAATCACTGCAGACACTCCACAGTGTGATAAGACCTGTTGGTAATCTGGGGGTCAGCAGAGGACATGGCTTCTAAAGCCCCCAGACTTCTGCTTGTGCAGGAGACTGCCATGGTGAGTAATGCACCATAACTGTGTGCTTGAGCTTGAGTGGAGTCCACAGCTCCTGGGTGCTTCAGCTCGTTGTTTCCTTTATCATGCATCCCACACCATTGATCTGAGGCTTCTCTCATTGTCTTACAGTGGGATTGTTCTTGCTCTCTGATAACAGCACTGTAAGACTCTCATACCCTACAAAAAAACCAACACTTTACCTGAGACAAAACAGTTGGTGAGTAAAGCTGATTGTAAGACTATTTTTTGTGAATGGAGTGTTCTTCATCAGCTGAGTAAGAGCGAAGTTATGTACCACTGATGTCTGGAAAGAAGGGGTCTCTGCTCAGACAGTGTTCTGATTTGAGATCCAGTTTTTCTTTCAGTTCATACAGCAGGAGCAGCAAAGGATGCGCTACCATGGGTGGTACCAGGAAAGCAAAAGAAAAAGGGTAGGTCTGCAAAACCCAGAATGGGTCAGACATTCAGCACAGCCCTAAATATGCAGTGGTGAGGACAATGAGGAGGTGTAGCGTAGCAGAGCAAAGTTCAAACTCTGTCTGCTCAGTAACATAGCAACAGGCTCAAAACTAGCACGAAACACAAACAGAAGGAAATAAGGGCAGAATAAGCAAGGGCACGATGTTTAAAGCACTGCTGACCAGGCTGTGCTGAGCTGGGCGGCTGGTACAAAACCATCATCTAAATGAAAAGTGGTTATAGTCAAAATAGTGGAGTTTTGCACACTTGGTTAAATCCCAGCTCCCTGAGACTGCCAGTTCTCACCAGTAGAACAGTTGTGATGGTCCTGGGGAGGTATGATTTCAAGTGGAGTGACTTTGAGGTGTTGAATACAGAGCTCTGAGAGGCAGTTTGTTACTGTCATTCACAAATCTTGCTTAAAACCATGAGCTGCATCCAAGTCTGTTCCTGAGGGAATATAGCCATTGTTTTCTTAAAGTTGTGTGGAATAAAGGAAAGCAGCCGGGTATTGCTCAGACTGTGCTGCTCTTTCTGGCTTAGAAAACCCACTTTGGGCTCTGCCAAGGTGATTAAGCTACACAGGAGATGGTGCACAACGTTTTCAATTTGGATGTGACTGAAGCGGGTGTTTTGCCTGAACTCATCCAATGCAAAACCCTGCATAACTTTGTACTGATGATATCCCAGCCTACATCCCCCTCCTGGATTTCACTGTGGCTTGAAAATCCAGCCAGGATTGTCTGAGACTTGTATGAGCTTGGTCCTAACTAGGAGCAAATCTGGGCCACCTTGTGATTGCAATGGCTTGTTGTAAACCCAGGGTTTACTGAGTGAAACTGCATCAATCCAGGGTCTGCATGTGGCCTGCAGCATGGCCCTGTGAATTTCTACAGTGCTTTTGAGGCTGTTTCTCTGAAAATCGAAATGAAGGTGGAATAAGCAGGAGCAGCCAAAATTAAGGCAAGTTCCAACCCCTTTGCTGGCGAGTACAGACTCCTCTTTCTAGGGAAACAGGCAACAGCTGGTGTAAAAAGACATCTGAAATGCCCAAAGTTATTTGAAGTCTAATGCTGTTGCCTTTATGGTGAACTGTTGGAAAGCTGGTTACAAAGCAATAGCTGGGATTCCCTTTGCAGTGCTGAAATAAATGAGGATCTGCTGCACAACCGGACTTTGTCTCACTTTAATTAGCTGTGGAACTGGCGTAATTCTGACAGTTCCTCCTGGTCTGATTTATTCTTCTTACTGCAAGCTTATTTCTCAAAAAACAACGAGATGCAGAGCTTGCAGAGCTGTTTTAGCAGCCATCCCTCCCCTAAGCATGAACTTCCATAGCCCCTAGGAAGGCACCTGGGCAGGGGTCCTTGCCATGCCATCATTGTGTCTGGAGCTCAGTTGAGTCCCTGTCAGGGGGTGTCTTGCTTTCTTTACAAGAAGCTCACCCTGTTTGTCCCCTTTCTAAGAGACTGACAGAGTTTTGGCTATGTGTTTTAACCTGAGCCATCAGAGCAGCTCAATTACTTGGGCAATTGCTGTTTTACAGGGCGGGATACGAGGTTTGTCATGTGGAGCTTTTACTGGGGTCGAGCAGAATTTGTCTTCTCCATGCAGCTGGTTGAATTTGTAGTCAAGTTTCAGAAGACTGCAGGGCCTGTACAAGCAGAGTTTGGAGCAGAATTTTAAGTGGGGTTTCAAGCAGGTTGCAGAGCACAGGATGAAAGCGGGGAAGAGGTGAATTCCATGCAACATGGGCTGCGGATGGCTGGAAAAGAGGCTGTATAGCCAGAGCTGGTCTTGTTTCTCCTGCCTCTCTTTGCCTTCATCCTTCCTAACAGATTTCACAGTCATTGGCTGAGGGATAATTTCATGTGCACATCCTTGTTAACAAACCTTTAAAAGCAGCTGTGAGATGTTTGTTTAGTGTTCGTTTCACATCACTCCCTTCTGGCTCATGCAAGTGTTACACAGCCCCTTCTCTTCCTCTGGATTTATTCCATCTCTGGCCTACCATGCTGTAGGGTCTAATGTCTGTCTTTCCCCCTGTCCCTCTACCATTCCTCAGGGCTAGATCCTATTCTGAACTGATTTCTGCTGTTCTCCATGGCTTTCCCTGCTCTGTCTCCCACACTCCCAGTATTCATTCCAATGCCACCTTCCTTCCCATTTTGCAGCATCCATCCAGAAAATGACACATTTATGAATCAACATAAAACATGTTCCAGCTACTCTTCCAAAAAGATATTGCCATGCCCAGGAAGTGCCTTCCCCAGTCATTCTCCTGGAGTGCTGAGTCTTCTGCTGATACTTATTCATGCATCTCATATTTGTCTAGGCAACAGCTATGTTTCTGTGCCTCATTCTGCAGTGCAATGTGAAGGTACAAGTATTAAGAACATGTTTTTTTTTTTTCCTGCTACTGGTCATTGACTGTTTCCTATTGCTCTTGTGGCACCATCATTTTACATAGAAATGTTTTCTTAAGCAATGTGGGTTCACTAGAACTGCATTTGACAGACTCCAGGCCTACATAACACTGCAGTCATCTTACTTTTGCCTATTGATCCTAGTGCTTCCTCTTGGTTCTGTTTCCTATACGGATTGCTTTGTTCTTTCAGCTTTTTCAGGGCAAAATGTCATGTTTTCCTAAGTATGCTCAGGTGGTTCTAGCCCTCAGGAGGACTTTGGGTATTAAAGTGGATGATCTCAAGAGCAGGTCCTGAGGGCAGAGCACAGAGCATGTACGAGTCACATCTGCTGCCTGTGTTGAGCACACACTTTCCTGCCATCAAAATCTCTCCTGATCCCTTCTGTGCTCACAGCTAATAAAGGAGTATGGGCAGACTTCAGCCTGCTTGATGCTCTGCATGAGCTATGCCTTCACTACAAGCATTTATCTTGGAGTAAATATGCACATCTTTGTGTTGTTTCAACTACAACACCGAATTGGAGTAATAGGAGTAAAAATCAGTTTTATCCATCAATTCCTTAGGAGTTCTTAAGGGTTAACATCAAACTTTTACCACATTTTACTGTAAGAGGGTTTTTAGCGGTGGTGTTTTGCATGAGTATGCTTTAGAGGAACAGCAGAGAAAATATTCTGAGCTATGACTAAGAACCAGTGATCAGCAGGATAATCTCCATCTGTTTTGCAAAATCAAGTCTTGCTGCAGTTGGCCAATAGAAGTATTTCCAAACAAAATGGAAGCATCAAACTAACACATCTGTGAGTTAGAACCTCTCAGTAGCTGGTTCATCTGTGCAACAAATAACGATCAGAGGACATCTGTTACTGCTTTCAACAGGCAGCAAGCCTACGTTTGTGAGCACCTTGTTTTGACATTAAATGGTGTATGAGAAGACTCTTTTTTCTGTGGAAAGATTATTGAAGTACCTAGAGATGATGAAAGAACTTGGAATAGTCACAAAGGTAAAGCACTGACTGAGTTAAATAATGCAGCCAATGTATGCAAATTGGATCTTTCCCTTTCCCCACTTATTGCTCTACTCGAGTTTTATGATGCCCTTTCCTGGAGAACAGCAGATTTCCAAAAGGAAGTGGTCGGGTGGTTCCAGACTCTTGCAGAGAAATTCAGGGTATCAGTCTGACTGTGAGAGCAAGCTCCAACTTCAGTCCATGTAGCTGAGCCCATACATGTACTCTGAAAGCATCTGCTTAGCTAGTACCTAGGACCAGCCACAATAGACTGCAGAGGTGTCCCTATTGCTTTTGCTTTCTTCCCCCAGCTCCTGAAGTGGTACTTTGAACAGAGGGCTGCAGCAGTGAGGACCTCACCCATCAGGCTTGACCATTAGCTATTCTCAAAGCATGTTCCATCAAACCCTGCAAGATCAGACCCAGAGCACATGATCCCACTACAGGATGTGGTGCTTATTTCCCTTCAGTTCATCCTCTTCATTGCAAAGCTGTTTGGTGGTAAATGGCTGAGATGAAACGTGGAAGAACAGACTTTAGATCTCTTCTGCCCGAGTAGTTTCAACTCGACACCTCTCACTCTTGAGCTGCCTGACTTACTGTCCTGGGTTCACTTTTAAACCACGACACTTACCAACTGCTGGTTGCTGGGAAGGGGACCCCTGACCTGTCCTGCGGTGGGAAAGACCTCAGAGTCCCTTGGACTAAGGGGAAACAGCAGGAGGAAATATTCCTGCAATGGGGAACAGCACAGGGAGTTTGGGGATTTGGGTCCATTTACATGTGAAATGTATTAACAGTCCTGAAAATACGGTGGTAGATGCTACACTCAGTCTTGAGGAGTGTATTTAAAGCTAACTCTTAACAGATGAGAATGCTGCTTTCTGGTTCCTAAGTATACTTAAGAAATATGTCCCCAAGTGGTCAGTCTGCCCTTTCCTTAAAGTGGTCTCCTTGAACCTTCTGTTGAAATGAAATACTCTGTAATGTGGGAAGACAGAAGGAAAGCCTTTGTGTTCCCTGTACAAAGAACGACCTTATTCCTTTTACTGCTGTATAAGCTTCTACCATGAGCTTTGTGCTCCCTAAAAACTATGAATTTGTGTGCACCGCTCTGGCCTGCGTGGTCCTGAGCTGGGAATTGAGCTTATTTCTTGCTCATGAGTTTTACTACTAAAGGATATAAAAGGAGTCTTCACTGAAGTGGAGCCAAATGCTTTTCAGCTTCTATCACCCCCATGAGTTTAGATGTTGCAAGTTTGTTGATAGTTCATTACTGTCTTTTCACAGAGCCCTCTCAGTACTACTTAAACTTAAGCATGTTGCATAATGCATTTTGTTTTACTGCATGGTGGCAGTAGAAGTTATCAGACATAAAAAGGTGGCAACTATTCTTATTCTGCATATTTGCTGGGATTAGTTTATTTTGATTTATGCTCTGCATCAGTCGCATTGCACTTTTGCCAGTGTCGAGAGATTGTGTGTGAAGAGCAGGAATGCTGTGTAGTATAAAAAGCAAATGTCAGGAGCCAAAGGAACGGAGCCTGAGCTATTTTGTACAATCACCTGATGAAATCATGCTGTGTTAAAGAAGTTTCCATCCTTATCAATTATTCAGTCCTTCAGTAGGCAAGAATCGAATGGGGCTTCCTAAGCAGAGCTGCAGCACTACCATTGCTCCGCTAAACCATCCCCAGCTCCAGGATGGCTGCTGGCACCTCATGGCTTTCTGGTGGTGTCATGTTTTGTGCAGGCAGATGTGGGATTGCTGCGGTGAGAAAGCGTTGACTTGCAAATGCCACCCTGCAAAGTGGTTGTGAATGATGCAGTATGGCTCCATCCTGGAAAGCTCAGGTTCTTCATGAAACCCACGTCCGAGTCCTACTTCTAAAGCAGGACAAGTAAGGAGGCCTGTACCTGCCTCTTGCACAACCAAGTGCTGTGAATAGCCAGTCTTCTGAATGACCCCTGTAAAATTTACTCTCCATTAAAGACACTCTGGACACTTTCACGTGCCAAAGCATCTGCTGCTCAGTTCAAACCTCTCAATCTTTCCTTTTTATAGATACTTGATGGCACCACCATTCTTTCTCGCTGTTGAGGACAGCGAAAAGAACAACACTGGGCTTGTCTACCAGCCTTGATTTCTCACCCAACAGATTTTCTGAGCTCTGATAACTATTGGATGTGCAACTAGTACATCTCCCATCACTCCTGCTTCTTCCAAAGATGCTATGTCTGCCAGTATCCCTTCAGGGACGCTGTGTCTTCACCAGCACCCAGCAGGGGCTTGTGAGAAGTCTGAGTTTGCAAGAGTATAAAAATTCATTTTGTAGTAGATTCCAAGGGGCAGAAGATCTCAAAGAAACATTAGTTTGAAAACAATGGCATTGAAGTAGCTAAACCCTCTATAGCATCCAAATGAGGGATGGCTATAGGCAGTGCTGTTTAGATCACATCGGTGTCTTGCTCTGGTTCCCATTCATCCATATCTATTAGTACTAGAGCCATAACATAAATCATAGCACTTCACAGGCTGCAATAAACACATTACCTGAGCAGAAACTAGAACAGTGGGGTGGGCTATTACTGAAGATAAATTATCAAGCTCTACTGGTAAGTGCTAAGGCTTCTAAATCACAAGGGTATTTTCTCAGTCAACATTTGAAAGGTAAAATTAAAGTCTTTCCAAAGACTTCATTTAAAACAATCTCTGTTGCTGCTGCTGAACTCCTGCCTATAGTCGAAAACCTCCATCTAAACTTGAGTCAACCCACCCACCAGGAACGGAGGCTGAAGCTGGAGCCCTGCTGAGCCTGAAATAGGGATGTGCTGAGACACAGATACAGGCTGTAATTCATGTTAGCACAGCTCATCAGATGCTAATTCACCCATTCGCTACTGCTGATCACATCACTCTGGGAGAGTGGGTTTACAGCCTGGTCACCCCCATATGAACTAGATTTAACTTCAGCTGAATGACTTGAGGTAATTGTTTAAGTGAAAAATGGAAAAAGAAGGGAAGGAAAAGGCTTGTGCTTTTCAGGTAAGAGAGGATTTATCCTTCTGGAAGGGAACTTATGCGTATGTGTGGATGTGTGCTTCCAGCAAGAAATAGGTCTGCATATAGGTCTGCAATCTCTCACCGAAATGCAGCAACGATGCACCACGTACTTACCACACGAGTACAGTCATAAAGAGGAGGTGCAGGAAAGGGCTTGAAAGAAAGCGGCAGTGATGGACGGGATGGAAATAGATGCTGCTTGCGGACCTGCTGCACAACCGTGTAGAGCCTATTCATTGCTAGAGACAAAATAGAGCTGAGGTGTCTCAGGTCTTGTCTAAAAAATGAAGTCTAACAAGGAAGATAACATCCCACCGAATTAACCCGTCGGGAGCTATAAAAAAATACTGCTTTTGTGTCTTAACAAATGCATCACTATTCCCAAAAGCTAAAGAAATGGAAAAATAGGCATAACAGCTATAGGAGTCCTTCAGCACTGTGCCCTTTGTGCTGTGCTCCTGTGATGAGCCCCAGAGTGCGGGTGCATTGCCTCGGGGCAGGTTTGGTGGTTTCAGGTCTGACACAGCAGATGATGAGGCTGTTGCCTTTACCTCTGTGTGTGCTGTAATGGGAAAGGGAATGGGTGCTGCTGCATGGGGATGCTCCTGGGGAGCAGCAGACCAAAACTGCCAGGTCCCTGGGGCAGAGGTTACACAATGAGGGGTCTTCTCCAGGCAGGTGATTTCTATTTCTCATACTAGTGAGTGATTTCTGAGCAAGACCTTCAGTGAAGCTCTGTTGTGACCAAAGAACACTCAAAACATTAAGGCAGGAAAAGCACCTCTAATTCTAAAGAGCTTTGCCTGGCAGGTGCTCTCTGAAGTGGGGGGTTTTCCTGTTCAGTGGGGGTAGCCCTTGGTGGTCTTTGAAGACTTGGTTCCTTAAATTCTGTCTTAAATGGTCCCCAATGTCCCTGCTCGTTGCAGGAGGTTGGACTAGATGACCTCTGAAGGTCTCTTCTAACCCAAACTGTTCCATGATTCTATGAACTTGTTCATATAACGCTGTCTTTGGCTACAATAGATGCATCTTGCTTTGCTTTCTTTGTTTCTATATTATCTCCTTAACTGATTCTATAGAATCATAGAATAGTTAGGGTTGGAAAGGACCTTAAGATCATTCAGTTCCAACCCCCTGCCGTGGGGAGGGACACCTCACACTAAACCATGGCACCCAAGGCTTCATCCAGCCTGGCCTTGAACACTGCCAGGGATGCAGTATTTTCATGAAGGAGAATCACTCCCTTTCCATGAGCTGCTTTGTGCCACCCTAACGCAGGTAAACCTGTAATTGCAGGGTACCAGAAAGCAAGTCGTGTAATTTCTCAAGAGAAAAAGCATCATTTGAAACCTGCTTAGACACAACAGCAAAGGCTGGTGGTGGCTTTAACTTCACATTTGGTTCAATCCACGCTGAAAAATAGAGGCCTTTTAGAGGTCGCAGCAAAATAATGCTCCTGTTGCAGTGAGGAAATAGACCTTTGACTAATGTGGCATTTCTTCGTGCATTTAAGTCACTGAAAGCTCCCCTTCCCGAAGGGTTGCTCAAGAGAAGTCAAAACATTGTTCCTCTTTCCTGTAAATAAATGCTGTGGCTTTTGACAGCCTTCTTGGAGCGAACTTTAAATTTATTCTTTGTATACCCAGTTTATCAAATGGGGTTAGAAACATCATTTTAGAACAATGTTTTGCTGCTCTCAAAGCATCGGGTGTAAATAACAGTTCCTCAAGCATTTCATTTAGACTTTGGCTTTTGGATCCAGACTTCTGGAACCCATCTCTGGTTTTAATATACATTCCTCTGACTGACCTAAATTACCTTTTTCTTGTGGAGCCTTTCTTTGTCTGAGACAGCAGAAACTTGTGATGAATGCAAGAAGAGTTTCTTGGCTCTGGTCCCCCTTTTGGTGTCATACAGCCCAGGCAACCAAGGCCGTGTCTCTCTTCTCCAGGACTGTGCTCCGTGACTGACAGCAAAGGCATTGCTGCTTTTCAGATTGCTTGAGCTTGGCTGTGTGCTAAAGTCCTACATTAAATATTCCTCTGGCTCTTAAAATTGTGGAAGATATAATGCTCGCTGCGTGCCACAATGATGCAGTGTTCAATGCACGTGACACTGGAAAAACCAGTAAACTGAGCTGACTCATGAGCAATTTCTGTATTAATCATGCCTCTCTGATTTTGCTTGTGTTTGTTCCTTTTTGCTACCTAAATAATGTTAAAACACATTTACAAGTTTTCTCCCCAGAAACCGTATATTATCTTGACTCTTTAATGTATTCTGAGCTAAAATTGTCCTTGTGCTCCTGCAGCAGGGTAGGACTGGGCTCCTTTGGGAATCTCTTGAGCCTGGAGGCTGTCTGAGGGGACAGGTCTTGGAGAACACAGTTTCCATGAAGGAAACGCTGACCACGTTTGACAGGACATGTGGGATTTGGGGCTGCTGGAGCGAGTCCAGGCAAGGCCATGAATATGCTGTGAGGGCTGGAGCCTCCATGGCAGAGGGTTGGAGCTGGATGAACTTTAAGGTC